AAAACACACGAGCTTCTGCACCCTTACCAGGATTTAAACAGAAATGAAGTTCAGTTAATAAATCCCCTGATACTATGTCAATCTGGTTTGCAGGGTTTTTTTCCATTACAGTAAAACACTGGCAATGAATTCACCTAGAAGTAACTGTTGTAATGAAGCCACTTACAAAGATAATTAGAGTCAAGAACGTATTTTCATTAGACAACACATTCACAGGAACTTGGCACTGGCATCAGACCTTACAAGTTTTTGCTCTGAACTTGTTTGTCATTTCAGAGCAATGAAAGGTTAGAGATCGATTTAGAAGAGGAAGCTGTTCATCTCTCTGCTGGTTTGTCACAGGGGAGGGAGGGAGGGAGGGATGGATGTACCTCTCCCTCCTGGAATGCTCCCTTGCCATTTCTCTCCGTTTCTGTCTTTCCCATTCACGACGGGCTTTATCCTGCTCTTCTCTATGTCTCTTCCTACGCTCATGTTCCCGTTCTTTCTCTTTCACTCTGGCATGTTTCCCTAAACAAACAAAAATTAATTTTGGAGTGTTACTATTCAAAATGTTTAGCACTCCTATTTTTTAAAAAGCAAAACCAGAAAGGATGATACTTAAGGTAACCTATTTTCATATTCTCTGTCATTTTCTTAATGGAAAAATCCTGATCTCAAAAATTAAAAGATTACAAGATCTTGCACAAACGCATTAAAACCAGAAAAAGGCTGTTAGTAATGGGAATACAACACGAATGTTTCCAGAAAGGGTTTTTTTTTTTCCTTTACAGTCAGGTACTCACTCAGTGAAGCCAGAATCTTAACAGACTTCAACAGTAAAAGCAGACTCCACGTCCCTGTCCCAAGGCGATTACTGGCCTCTCAAACACACATAAACCCCTGTCATTCCCATAAGGGTATTAAACATAATCAAACAAATAATACAAGTTTAAATTCCTTTCCCTTATCCACCTGACATGTTTCCTTTAGTTTGTAGTGACTGTTATTTACTCTCTACACAGTGCCTGTTCAGCTTCACCTTGGGAAGCTACCACAAACATTATCCAAATGTAGCAACAACAACCTTCTGCTGAATGACTACGATGTCTACGCTTCTCTTTCCTCTTCTCATCTTTTCTATGATGGGTTTTTTCTTTCCGTGACATTTGCTGCGGTGGTTTTATAGCCAAGGAATCATCTTCTTCTCCTCTAAAATACAAGACAAATTAATAAACTCAGGAAGGTTACATGTACCATCAATCAGGCCGTGTGTTATTTCCTCTTCATTTTGAAAAGAATATATTTTTTTCCTATTTTATTAATATTAAAATTCATTTCCATAACACCTCAGAACCAAGGCATTAACGGTACATTACAGAAAACCAGTCACACAGATGAGAAGCTAAGCAATAATTCTATGTGCACTTTTAATAAACAAGCAAACTAAAGATGAATTAAGCACTGAAGAGAACTCAGCAGGCCTGCAGGAACTACATCTTGAGTAAAATATTTTACTACTAGGTAGGAGTCAAAATGGGAGCACGGTCAAGCCTTAATCAGTACTTTAAAAAGATACCCTGGCATGTTCTACAAACAGGAGATGGCACATCTGCATGCCAAAGAAGTTAAACTTTTCCCCTTCAGGTATTTTTAAACCCTCTTCTCAGTACTTTTAAAGGTTAATTTCAGTAACTCTTCCTAAAGCAACAAGGTTATTCTCTTATTCTCTTACTCTTACCTGTCTTCCATAGAGTCTTCCCTCCTGTAAGGTGAATTTCTGATTGTTATTTCCATGCGATGATCTCTCAACTCCCCCTCTTCAAGAGAATCCCGCTTTGAATCCCTATCATCTGACTGTGATAGAAACACAAGAAAGGGCAAAACCGAAATGCAATTAATATTTATGTAGTGAAATAAATAAATTTAAATAGTACTGAACTCTTCCATTCCTGGCTCAAAAGCCCTCTTCAACAGGTCACACCAGTGCACTAATTTATGAACCAGAGCTTTCATAGCTGTAAGCAGCCAAAAGCAGTTTGATTGCAATTATAGCTGAACTTCTGTAAATTTAATGTAGAAAAAATTAAGAAATCATTAAGAGGGATTCTATTAACTATTGCAGGGTTTTTTTTTAAAAAAAAACCCTTTATTTTTTACAAAGTTATACAACCCCAAATAGAAACAGAAATTTATTCAAGAACAATTATTTAAACCCATTCTTCGATAAAATCTTTTAATTACTTGAACCGCAGCTTCCAGTTAATCACACCAATTTCTTTACCTTTTCTAACGAATAACTATGAAACAAAGCACAGAATACAACGTAAATCCAGTAAGACCCTAGCAAAGCATCGTAGTTTTGTCAAGCTTTAGAATCACTGATCACACACAAAACATGCATAAGAGCACAGAGGAATAAGAGGAATTTCACTGAGAGGGCAAGAAGCCCTCTCATCAGAAAATCAAGCTCCTCAGGTTTTATTAGAAATGCTTGTATACAAAAGGGCAGCTTACATTTTTCATACGTTTTATCTCTGCCTTCTCCTCTTGCTCCTTCCTTCGTTTTTTTTCCTGAAGAATTTCATCTAAAGTTTTCACTTTCCAAGAATCCTTTTCATCACCCATTTGAGTTTAAAAAAAACCTCTGAAAGAGAACACGACGTTAATGAAACCTACACAAACTACAACAGTCCAACACAGCTGTATCTATTTTACCTTGACTTTTTATATGTAGACAAACGCTTAATATACCATCTTCAAGTAAAGCCAAGCGAGACTTGACTTAGGCTGAAGCAGAAAAGCCCACTTTAAGCCCAGAAGCACACACAGCCTTTGCTGACAACTTAGAGACCTGCCCGAGTAAAATGAAAACACCGTCTATAAACAGGGTCTGGCGTTCCACCCCCGAGGAAGGCGCAGGGGCGGCTGTACGCGCCAGCCCCTCACCTACAACGTCGGTACCGGAGGGACGCCGAGAGCCGCTCTGCTCGGGAGGCACCGTCACGGCCTGCCACCGCACAGACCCCGCCCGGCCTCGCCCCCGAGCACACCGCGGGGCCGGAGCCTGCCCGGCGCTGGCGGCCGCGGGGGTAAGGCAGCCCCGCCGCCGGCGGCTGGTTACTTCGCCGCCAAATAAAAAGAACCAACCCACAACAAACCTACAGAGCCGCGGCGGAAAAGGAGGAACTGTCCCCACGTCTGTCACTCTTTGGGACCATCCTTAAAACTACATATAAAAAACGACGTCAATTTTATTATTTTTGTCCACTTGAATAAAACAGTCGTTTCAACAAGCCACATACAGAATGGCAACGGAACTAATGCACTACAAAGGAGAATTTTACATTAATTCAGGATGAGAAGGGCAATTCTTAAAAAGGAAAAGCAGCTGAGGCTATGCAGGCAGACCTTAACACACCCCTCATTAAAGCGGTTTAATGAGGTTACTCAACCATGACTAGAGGTTACAAGGTAATTAATGATAAGAAAGATCATTAGGTGCAGCTGCTTTATCATCCATCCACTGTTTTAGCTGGGAAATAACCTCACTTCAGAAACACTAACTGCTGCAACTAACACATTTGCAAGGCTGTGTTCTTCAGCAAGGACTTGCGTTACTTCAGGAATTCACATTTTAGGGAAGACGTGCTGTTTCTATGAGAATGTACCAGATAAAACAAATAATCCGCATAGTTCTAGCTCACAGAGTTCACTGGGATCAGTCCACGAGTTCCAGGGTGTGGCTGTGAGAAATGTCAGCAAAAGGAACACCAGAGTGTTTCCAGAGAGGGCTTCCCAGAAGAAATGGGGCACTGCAGCTACCATCATACAAAGCAATGAAAAGGCCCACAGCTGGGGTGTAGCACTGTAATGAACTCTTACAAAGTGGTCCTCGTTTACCCAACAGGAACAACAGCAAAGGAGAATTACTGGTATGACTGGAGAAAGAAAAGGTCTTACAAGTGGACAGACAGTAAAGAGGCTGGTTTGTTTAATCTAAAAAAAAAAAAGGTCAAGACAACTGCATAGAAAAGTACATAAGATCAACACTGAAAACAAACCCCTGGTAAAACAGGATTATCATGCTGCCACAGAACAGGTGGGGCTAAACCAGCCACTAATAAGCTTAGACATGTGTTAGAAATTACAAGTTCCAAAACCCTCACAGCTGTTTGGTTCACAAAAAGTTTTCCTGCCATAGGAAAGGCAAAAGCCTGCTGGCTTTTAAAGTGAAGCTCAATCAGTTGATGAAGGGGGTTTACATGAGAATGGAGCTAGGCAACCAGCCAGCCACTCATATTTCTGTTTTCCAACAAGAGCAGAAATATGATGCAAACCAGACTTTTTCTGCCAAATACACTGACATTTTTGAAAGCATAACTACAAAAAAAAAAAATGAAGGCAAACAAACAACTAAACCCAAAAACCACAGAGCTCCACCCCATAGTCCACAGATTTTGTAAAAGTGATAGGAATACAAAGGAGCAAAAAACCACAGACATCACATATACAACGACAAAAAAAAAAAAAACAACTGACATTTCCCTCAGGCTCAAATCTTCAGGGAATACGCCCCAGGCGTCCAGACAGTAGAGGAATGTAACCTGAAGTAAGTGTAAGACAAAACAAGCACACACGATTTAAACAGAAGACAGGCTTCTTCAGAGACACCCTCTTGAACGCATTTTTTGCTCTCTGCAGGAATAGCTCACTAAAGCCAAGGGAATACCTCACACGTGGACATGTAAGCATGAACTTTAATTTTGCAGGAACGCCACTGGGAACTTCCTGTTAGAAATGATTTTTTCCAAAAGGAACCACTTTATCCATGCTTCTAATGCCATGCTACAGTCTTTCAGAAGAGTGGCAACTGTTAAAAAACAACTCACTTTAATTGTTAATTTAATTTCGTTACCAAAAAGTCTATTTGAATTTTTTTGCCAAAACTAATTACTAATGCTTAAGAATTTTTTTAACTTTTAACCTTTGATCTACCACAAAACAGAATTTCCTTAAAAAAGAAAACTTATTAAGAGCAGTAGGAATAAAGATTAGCCTCAGTTTATGTTTAATGTTCCTCCCTTCAGAGACTTCTCTTCCATCTCTGTCACAGATACCTCCAAGATCCTTTTCATAACTGGAAATGATAGAAATACTTTACACAAAGGTCAGAATTATAACCCTGAGTTTCTAAAAGGCAGTATTTTGCTGCACTCTTAGAAATAATGCCTAAAAATCAATTTATTACCTCATAACAGAAATACATAATAAACCACAAGAAATTAAAATATTAAAATGGCTTCTTATAGAAATATAGAGATCCTGCTGCCTTTACCATCAAAATTTTTCAGTGTTTTTTTACCTTTAAGCAACTGCAAATATTTAATTCAACACTCCATTTATACAGTGTATGTATACGTTTGTACATTTGCATTTCAATATTGTCAGTATACAACCAGGATCGATATTTCCGTGTTAAATTTTAGTAGAAAAATCGGTTTTCATTCCGAGATTTGTAGTCAGAAATAGCTGCTCATAACTATTTTGGGGCATGGACTCATTTCCACAGTTTGGTTCAACTCCACGTATACCAGAGTAAGTCATTTGTTGGGAGAGGAGAGGGGTTCCTTCTTCCAGCTCTACAACGCACACAAATGATGGAGGATGCAGGCAGCGCAGAGTAACAAACAACTAGGAATTTCAGTTCTGCAGGAATTTCAGTTCTGCACCGATTTCATTCCACCAGCAAGCGGAATACAGTGATGTGTCCGTGTTTTCACATTATTTTGATGGGTAGGGAGAAAGGAATGGTTTTCCCACAAGACACTGAAGTTCTTTCTCTAATATAGGCTTGTATGCTATTTGCAGTCAAGGAAAGACAATAAAGCCCACATTTACCACATTAAATGACTAGGTTCCCCCGTTTGGTTTATCAGTTTCTCCATGAATCAAGGCTTACTGGATTCTTCTCATTGTTTTCTCTCTGCTTCAAGTCCCAGGCTTGACTTGCCACGAACTTAAAGGAATCAAATTAGCATCAACAGCTGAAGAAACCACCACGTTCAGGGATAGTTCCTCTGAGTTACGCTAGGTTGGGAGAATAAATGGCCATATTAATCATACGGTTCCAAATCCTTGGAAATTAGTGGCTCAGTATCTTCAGTTGTACTTTGTGGGGATTGGGGGGCTGCAACCGCCAGGCTGTGTATAGTCTCTTGTTGATGCTGCTTTGCCTTGTTATAGAGTAGAACTCCAATTGTCACCAGAAAAGTCCCAATGGCCGAGAGGCTTGTGATTTTGTTACCAAACACAATAATACTTAGCCAGATTGACAGCGCATGCTTCACAGTACTAGCAACACTGGAAAGGAATATAAAAATTAAGGCCAAAGAAAGCTTTCTCATGTCCCCCACACAACCATGCTTTAAAGTAGCAGGACCTCTCTCTTGTTTTCCTTGGTTTTTAACCACCAACTCAGATTCCACTTCTCCTTCTGAAGCTACTACCAATACTAAATTGCTTTTATATCTTTACACTCATCTAAATTTTAGAGCTAGTACAAATAATTCACCACAGGTTTTTGGTTTGGTTGCCTTTAAGTATGCAGTACAGTGTTAGAAATTTATTTCTAACACAGACATCCAGAAAATGCTAACAGAACACTAGCCACACAACTATCACTTGTGAGTGTGCTGCCACTATTCAGGAAATGTGGCATTATAACCTGAAAATAATAACTAAATCATACCAATAATATTGTATAGAAAATTCCTTGCTATATGTAAACATGAATATATGCTTTTACATCCTGTTGCGTAGAGAAGACTAATAACTTCAGAATAAGCATGAGTGTAACTGAATTATCACACAACTGTAGCAGGCACACCTGAAAGCATAAGACAGCAGAAGCTTTCAGAATTTAGGGCCAGGATTACCCCACAGGCCCAAGGACTATTCGTACAAACGACCGATTATTGAACCAGAATTGTGGAACAGCCCCACAAAGCTGCTAACTGGTAGTATAGGTGAAGGTGTCTTTAGAGAACGTATAATCCAACAAATGCAGCTTGACGTGCTGCTGTCATGCTTCAGAAAAAAGGAATACAGAGCTGCTTGCTCACATTCTGTGCTGCACAGAGAGATAGGTAGGTATTGCCTTATCACTGAAGCAAATGGCAGCTTAACTGTTGGATGCAGAGTTTTGGTGAATCTATTCAGCGTCATTAACCAGGTTGAAGGAATGCCTGTTCCACCTCAATATCCCTGCTAGTAAACGTGAGCACCTGCTCTGTAAACTCAACAGCATGGGTCAAATGCTGCTCTCCTCACACACTGAGGGAGCAAATCACAAGGTTTTGGTGATCTGGATGTGAAAAGTTTTCTTAATTTCCTGCAATTATGCATTTACATGATTTATCTTTGCACAATACCTTTACTGCCTAGTTCTCAAGCAGAAATACTGGGCAAGAAAAAAAGAAAAGAAAATAGTGTTCTTGACATGAAAATACAATTTTACCTGAAAGTCACAGGAGAAATTTTTCCCATCAAGGCATAGGCTGTAACACTTTGCAGGTGGAACAAGACTCCATCTATTAAGAGAAGTACAACAACATCTTGGTTGTAGCTGAAGCTCCTTCCACTTTTCCCAATCACAGGCACATCCTAAACAACAACAACAAAAAAAGAGGACTTTAAAAGTTTAGTTTAGAAGCAAATCTAAAAGTGATTTTCCACCCAATTCATTATTATTATAAACAAATAGTTTTACATTTAGACTTCAGCAAAAAAAACCCCTAAAACATTTAGATCCTACAGGTTTTTCCCCCAAAAAGAATCTATCAGAAAAGCAGCTCTCATCTGACGGAACTTTCCAGGGTGTTCACTCTGCCTGTGAGATATTTTATTTTCTGAACACTGATGCATGGCAATGAAATGCCAGAACGAATGTGAAGGTTCCCTCTTTAACCTGATATACCTTACACTTACTTCAGTTCAATTTTGCTTTCAGACTTTACATTCCTGTATACCATGTGAATATCAGCAAACAGTCAACAAATATTTAAGATTTGTTTTTCAATATCTAAAACTTTAAATGCACTTAGACAAAAATACGAGTTGGTCTCAGAAATCCTGAAATAAACTCAGGCTTTCTGGGTCACTTGTCAAGTCATGTGTATATTAAATTATTTCTTTGAAAGTTTTCTCTTTTTTACCTCTCCCCAATCTCTTGCAAACATAAGATGAAATGCATTTCAGGGTGATTTAAAAAAAAAAAATGGGACAAAGTAAAAATTAAAACCTCAGTTACACATTCTGCTCACAAGTCAAAAAGAAAACATTAATCAGTGCTAGTGAATTCAAATTACCATGAAAAATATCCAAGCTGGAATAAGCATAACCACTGCAGCAGCACTTGTGTAGAACTGAAGCTCTGGGGCTCTACAAAGGAGAAAAAGCAATGATTACAAATATTAAAAGCTTCCTCTTTCTTAGAGATGAAGAAAGCTGCATCATTATTGTATTTACAGATACCAAAAAGTAATAAAAGCCATCTGCCAAGGTTTGGGGACAACAAATCCAGCATCTCTTGCAAAGACAGTGTTTTGCTTTTTGTGTTGGCTGAGACAGACCCAAGAGAAAAGCCACAAGTGTTCAGGACCAAAACTACCATTTCATCTGGTGGTGAAGTTCATACACACAGGCCTATTTTACCACAGGATTTTAGTCCTGGCTTATACTTTGTAGTTAAAAGATCAAGGGAGTTCTCAAGTTTGTCTCTGCATGCCTAATAATGTTAAAGGATGTTTTATGATTGCAGAATAAGGACTTATTTCTGCATATGCTGAGAGTTTTAGCTGATTACGAGACTCCAACCTACCACAGTAGGATCTGAGCATAGAGAGTTTTCTTTCCCTGACAAAATTATTTAGGTTAAAGCTGTCTGTAAACAGTCTGAGAAAAAAAAATAAATAATATTGGTGCAATATAAACATAAATATATCAAAGTCCATCTATAATCAAACTTGAAATATTTTTAATACTTACGAAAATCTGTATTTATCTCCACTGAGTAGTTTTTTGGAAAAGACGTTTTGCAAACTGGAAAAAGAAAACCAACACCATTTATCTCAGTTTAGTTATGACAAATAACCCATGAGTAAGACAGCTGTTTTCCTTAGATGGGTAGATGTGTTTTCTACACATTTCACATTCTACACATTATGCAACTACAGAAAGGAGTTTGGTCTCACTCCTTTAGACTAACAGAGTACTATTATTTTTTAATCCCATGAATGGTAGCAGGTAAGACAGAGAAACTTTATATTCTGTTAAAAATAAATTTTAAATACCAACATTTAAATGTAGTGTACAAAAACAACTACAGGCAACAATTTTCTTCACTCTACCAATAAAAAAAAAATTCCTTTATTCCACACGTGCAACTATCAGTAAGCCTTACCAGTCCATGATATTAGTAGATAAAGCTGCCGAGAAGCCTAGGATGTTGAAACTGATTTCAGTAGCTGTACACAGAGCTAGCCCGCCCATGACAGGAATGAGAGAGAGATTAACCAGCAATCCTGAAAATGAAAACAAAAACTCAAGTCTGAGTTTAATTACTGTACTTCCAATTACATGTATCAGATAATATAGTTTTTGAAAGTTTAAATTCCATCTTAACTTCCTTAGTTGAAAGAAAGAGCAGCTTATTTGACTGGATTTTAAAGTACAGAGGTTCTAAAGTGAGATCTCGGGCAATAGCAGGGTGCTCTTGAAAACAGTATGGACATACTGATAGAAGTACGTCCCTTGGAGAAAGAAAACAGGCTGATGACTCTTGTGAGAGACGAGATAACTCCGAGTTTCATCTTTTTCATCAAACGACAGAAAAGAATGATACTCTCCCTGTTTACTCTGTGAATTAGTCTTCTTCCTCTGGCTTATTTCAGCCTTTTGCTATTTTGTATCACAAAGGAGTTCATACATGGCTTCTGTATTACTCCTGTGACTTACAGCTGGTAACAACCAAAACGTCTTCAAGCAAATAGCATGCTACTGCAAGTGGAATTGCAAAGAAATTATTTTGTGGCAAGCCAGTTGTTTGGGGTTTTGTTGGGTTTGTTTCAGGTTTTTTTTAACCACAGAGTGAGCACAGCAAAGAAATTAAAGAATTTTAAGTTCTGAGCAGGAAGCTGTCCTTATAAGAAGGAACACACTGAACTTCAGTTATTTAAGGCTGCAATAATATTTTCCTGACAGAAAACTAACTTCAAAGTAACAGTGACCTTACACAGCAGCATTAAAATAAATCTTTTACTTTATATACACTTTACTTATTGTGTTCCAACAGAATGATTCTTCCAGCTGCATTTACTATATTTCAGTGGAAGCTCCTCATCCATGACCAACTGACAGTATGATACAAACAAACAAAAAAAAAAATCAGAAAAAAGAAAAATCCCATTTCAACAGTGAAATATTTACCAGTGTATTCTCCTAATATCATCCGAGACATGATAACAGTAAAAATAGGTGCAGAGCTTTTAACAGTCTCTGCAAATGAAACTGCCACATTCTTCAAGCTGACAAGACCCAAGACTACTGTTGCAAATCTGTAATAGAAGAACACATGAAATTAAGCAGAAAATAAAATAACGCTTTAAGAGCCACTCTCAGACATCTCGCATAAAAAAAGAATCACATTATAATGTCTCTAGGTTTATAAATTTGAGCTGCAGTAACATGGCAGGTGTAGCTGGCAATCAGGCCACCAAATCGTGGTGGCCAGCCTGAACTGCCGCCGCCCATCAGCTGCGCACCTTCGCTCCACAGCGCCTGGGATCTATTTCTTTCTGCTTTGGCTTAAACATTTTTGTTTTGCCAAGGAATAACAACCCCTTCCAACCTGGTGGTTCTATAATTTATTTAGCACAAGTGAAGGCACCCTTGGGCAACAGCGCAATTTCTACAGATGGACAGAAAACATCAAAATTTACTTTTTAATGCACTCTAACCAAGCCTGAGGTGACAAGTGTTTTAAGCTAAAGTTTTCAGTAGGCTCAGTTGAAAAGGTTAGTGCAATTCTGCTGATGAACAGCAATTCACCAAGGAAATTTTATCATTTGCAGTTATCCCTCTAGTGTAAATTAGGTGCACTACATACTTACCATACTTTAAACCATGAAGTTAAACAACAGGGCAGCAGAGATATTACAATAAAGCTACTCTGAATTCATTTGAATCCTGTTATCCTTTATCACTTGAGGAAAGCAAATATTATATTCTTATTCCCTCCTAGACAACAAACTGATACTATCCCAGCACACAGCAAATACTTACTTTTTAAAAGATAAACATTAACAGCCTGTATCGCTTTTGAGGCAAACATCGTAATAAATATTAGTACACTAAACAAACATCAGCCTCAAAGGAGAACAGGAAGAAAGTAAATGGAAAGAGAAGAGAAGTATGTTCTGAAAGAAGCTAAATGTGATGGGAAGCCAAGCTAGCCAAAAACCTGACATCCGGAAAAAGGAACATAGCATTTAGCAATAGGGACTAAAAATAAAATTATCCTGTGATTTTAATTTTTTTTTTTTTTTTTGAGGGGAGGAAAAGTGAATACTCCAAACAGTTTCCAATCAAGATTGAAAAGGAAAAGAGCCATGAAAATACAGTTTCTGTTCAGAAGAACGCAATGAAGCAACCGCATAGATCTCTAGGCACTATTTAACCATTTACCTCATTAATCCAACAAACAGCATTATCATGATGAAATTGGGTGGATAAGAGATGCGTGTTTTGTGTTGATACAAGCAGCATGGAACAAACATTTTTATACAGCCAATGAAGGTGGTTGAAAGCATTTGAACAGCACCTAAAGATGAGAGGAAAAGAAAAATAAAATCAGAAGATGATGGGAACATGACGAATCAAGCAGTGTAAGAAAATTTCTTATACAAACTTAGGCATAGTACTTTTAGCAGTTAAGAAACTGTCTAGATTTTATGAATTCTCACAAAAGCCCTTTACTTTCATGTCTACCAGCAAGGCAGCAGAATAAAACAAAGGTGGCATACACCTGTAAGATCCGGTTCACAGATGAAATGCCCTTTGTTTCCCCCTTAAAAAAAAAAAAAAAAAAAAAAAAAAAAAAAAAAAAAAAAAAAAAAAAGGAATAAACAGCCCATTGGATAATAGGGGACACATAAAGGCAACTTTTGCACTTTCACAAAGACATTAACAGCTCTGGAGATTAACAACAAATGATTCCATTTCATTTTTTCAAAAAACCCACAGTACCCTCCAAGACAGAGAACCAAAAATTACATTTTTCTTTCCAGCTCTTAGTCTCAAACACCATTTTAGTGGAGGAAAGGACAGTGTCAGAAGCCCCCGTACAGGCTGAGATCACAACTCATGAGAGTTCCCAGCCCCAGAATCCACCCCCACATCTCCTAACTAGGTCCTTTTCACTTCAGTTGAACCATTTTGTCCCTCAACTTTATAGAGGAGGATCTGGTACTGTCAAATATCTTACTGGAATTGAAGTATAAACGAAAGGTAGGGTTACCTAGCATGCTGGGCTCTCCTTCCAGTAATGAAAGAATATATTTGTTAAGAAAAAGAGTGCAAAAGCTGAAGAAAAACCACAAAGTGAGGTAGATGAGAGCATGGGAATTCCAAATGCCCAGGTCCGACTCAATGACTGTAGTCTCCGTGATAGTGATTTTCAGGACGTTCTCCTCCGGCACACTATCGCTCCTGGCAATTACAAACTTTTCACTCCTGTTGGCAAAGAGTGAACCCAAATGAAATAGTGATTTTCCCTTTGGCTTTTCTTCAAGGGGAGGAGGATTCGGTTCCTCTTGTGTCTGAGCACTTGTCACAGTCGACATTCTGACATTAAAAAATTAATATTTGTCCTTAATACAAACCAACATTGACTTAGCACAGAACAACACTTCGACGGAACAAAAATATTGTGTGATTCATCTTTCATCTCCCATGGCCTGAAAAAGTGTACTTGGTCCTCCGAATCACATCTTGCATGAAAATAAACTTCACATGCTTCTTCATGTGGTCTACTCCATTTTTTCTGCCTAAGAATGAAAAAAAAAAAAAAAAAGAAGGAAAAGACATGTAGCTCTGAACATAATGACATTTTAAATCCCTAATGCAGCAAAGATACCACATTTCACCTGCAGTTTGTGAACGATAAAGACTTCTGTAGCTTATCTTTCAGACTGGATTTTGTACTCCTAATATCATGATACCAAGATTAAGCACTAAGAACTTATCTAAGGGAGATTTTTTAATTCTAAAATAGCACACACACACACACACACACACACACACACACACAAGACTATGTGATTAAACTCTTTCTCTTCTAAAGCATGTCAACACAGCCTTCTCCATTATAATTAACCCCTCTTCAAGATTCTACACTTTCTTTGATCTCAGTCTAAGGTCTTATAACCTAAGGTCTTATAACCACTCAACAGAAAAAAATCTTCAGAACCCAGAAAATCTGGGCAGGAGCCTGTAGCCTTAGTACTAATTAACCTGTTATTATCTCAAGTCAAAGTAAGCAATCAATAACCAAGGACTAAAACTTCCAGTAACGTAAGAGTTATCCTGATAACTGTGAGATTTGGATGAACAAAGTAGGAAAATATTTCCAAGAGCTTTCCAACCAGACTTGTTCTCTATTTAGTAAAGAACTCACCATTATTTTGCCACTGCAGTACTGTTCTAGCTTGCAATTCAGTATCAGTAGTTGCAATAATTCTTAGTCTTTTTAAAAGATCTGACAGAAAAAAGCATTAAATCGTTTGCAACTAGAGCTTTCTCCTTTTACAAATTACATGAAAGGTGGCAAGTTACAGTAGAAGAGTACGGAGAATAACCAAAACACAGTGTGACCTTTATTCTTCTCAAGTCATGTGATGTTAGTTCGCATCATAATGCTAACAGATTCAAAGTCTGTATGAAGAAAGAAATTGCACCTGAGCAGCTTATCTGCATCAGTAAAACACACTATTGGGTTTACTGCATTTTATTTTGCAGTCAGTGTTTTATGAGCAAAAAATCCCCCAGGATTAATCAGATGAGAATTAAATGGCGGACAGGACCTCTTTTGCCCCTCAACAAACAAACAATAGGGGAAATTAAATTCTAAATATGTTTCTTCAGAAGCACATTTGCTGGATAGACAAGATGGTGGACCTTAGAGGGTTAAAAAGTAATTCTTGGTGGGGAAGTGAATCAGTGGACAAGTTGGAAAAGCTGTCTGAAATGAGACTATAATATTACAATGCATCAAACGTTGGCAGCACAAGAAATAATCAATGGCAGGCAAAAATAGAAGAGTTGGAACAAGAGCTACTGCACCTGCCCTAATTCTGCTAGCACGTGAACAGGAGACACCGTTTTCCTCATGCCCAGTGTGGCATCTCAAATCATAAATAGGTACTAAAGAGTTAAATATATCCTGTCAGTTTTCATGTCCTAAAGAGCAGCTACTTTACACAAATTTTCCATTCCTTACGTTCTCTATTTCTGTTACTACAGCCATGCACAGAAAGTTTCCATCCTTATCCCCTTATCTCCTTTCATTTTACCAGGAAATCCTGCTAGCAGCACCCCGAGGTACAAGACCCTCTGACACACTCACATTAAACCATATACTCGTGTTAATCTGGTTTAAGACAGAACTTTGAGGGAAGATACGCATTCTTTAAGAGAATTTGTTAAGAAAAATGGATTCTTGACTCCTCCTCCGTTTTCGGGTCATAAAAACCCCCCAACTTCTAAATTAAGAATGGTTATTTATCACAACTCTGTTAATACTTTTTCTGTTTATACTACTCGATTAAACCCAAAAGCAATTAAACACGACAGCAATTAAACACAACGGAGCTCCCACCCTCAACAGCACCTCGATATCACATTTGATATGACTGATTCCACACATGGCAGGAAGCAGAACAGCAAATAAGAACAAAACTACTCCCCCCTAAATTACTGACCTCCTGTCTTAAACCAACCGGAAAGTCTTAAATGGACTGAAGGAGTTCTCCATCTGGAACTAATTCAGTCTTCCTCCCTCAAGACCAACCAGCAGCTGATGTTTACCAATAGATGAAAACGTGGCAGCGGTTGGTAGACTGTTTCTCTTGGATGACACACAAACATTCAATCTTCCAGCTCAGAAGAACAAACAGCATGCAGTGCATTTTACACACTTCCTCGTATCTTCTCCAACTTTTGACTACGTTAGCAACGCAAATGTTGTGTTAAAGGTGGAAAAAATACGGAGCATAAGCTGTGAGAGTCTCAGACAAATTCTGACTTACAAGTCGCAGCTAATTACCAATTCAACAACTCCCTAATTTCTCAAGCTTTAAGCCATCGTATTCACAGGACTACTTGCATTCAAACTCCGTTTCCCCTTCTACCTGGAGCAGTTCGAAATTTAATCGGAAATACATTCCTCTCAAACTTAAAACAGGAGCAGAGGCAAACATTTTCTCAGAAGACTTTTAAGAGCGAAGAAAATAAATTAAGGCATTATCTTTTTGTGCTTTTAAGCATCTAGTTTTAACAAAAAACTTCCTCTCCCCATAGTTTTTCAAAGAGCAGTCAGACTTGTTTCGATTACTAAATCGCGTACGCTATTTTCTATTGTGTGCAAGTGGCCTCCATGGGAATAAACATCATTTTGTTGTCAGGCAGCCTGGATGAATATATAGAAATGACAGCTGTCTGGGCAGTGCTTTTGTGGAAATGGTGTCACAGCCTAACGAACATTTCGAGTTAGCACCAGCTCCCAGCTTCTGAAATAAATACCAGCCCCTTTGCTCGCTCCAACTACAACAAATGTTTTGGTGGACATGTGATAGATCAAACCAGGGAAACTGCTCTCCCCTGAAATTTTAAGGCTGCTGGGAAAAAGTCAGTCTTAATCTGAACCAAGAGTATACGTATCACCTACTCTTAATCCATAAACATCAGCTACGCTTAATTCACACCAGTACAGTCTAACCTCATCGCCGTAAAAGCAGTATGTCTACGTGCATTGTTTTCTACAGGTCACAGAAGAAAAGAAACACCAAGTTTTGCAAAAAAACCCCTAAATGCTGAAGCAACAGAAGTTAACAAGAACACATCACATTTTTTGCATTAGTTGTTTCATAAAAAACGTTTTCCAAAGAAACTATAACATTCCACACTGAAGTCAAATGAATAAAAGAAAAAAAAAAAAATCAAGAAACTGAACTCTTGTAACACGTCACAGCGGTTTCTAACAAAATTTAAAAGAGAGGAAAATCAGTTTTCCTCCTCAGGTGAAGGGGAGATCTGTGTCACATCCCCCTTCCTCCACAACTGCAGAGAGGTGAGGGGTGAAGCAGCTGATGAAAATCCAGTTGCAAGGGCTCAGCAAGGTTACAGCGGGGCCCTGACACATTCCCCACACCTGCCCCCCCACCCCGAGCTTTTCTGCGACTGAGTTACAGCCTGTATGAGGGCAGACAGCTGAACTGTCTTGACCCAACACTAACACCACCTCATCATCTTCTTTAAAAGTAAGCATAGAGGGAGAAAATTAAGAGGCCTTTCAGAGCCATATTTGATTAAAAAATGCAAGAGATAAAACCTACTCGGATATTAAATTGTTTCAACGAGATTATCACTGACGTATGTTGAAAATCCTCGTAACAGCATTCACTGAAACTTTCTTTTCCTGAGAAACTGCAGTTCTAACCCCAATTTTTAAGAAATTGTCAAAAATAAGAAAGCCAACAATATAGCCAGACTTCAATATAACCAGTCTGTCCTTAGCACTGAAAGAAAAAATTAAAGATAACACATACAGCAAGACACCTGAAAGAGGAAATACAGTGTTTTTTTAAAAATTACATCTACTGTACCAAGACACGATTTAAGAAAATAAAGCATAGCATTTCCAGCACTACAGATTCTGTGTTTTTTAACTATCTGTGACAACCCTGGTTATGCACAGTCCCTCATGATTCTTTCACAAAGCATAGGAAATATTTTTTTTTATGATTGAATACACTCATTGGTAAGCATCCGGCAGGCACTCCAACAAATTTAACATGAAATCCTTTCGTGATGCAGCTCAACCTCAAAACTGATACCTTTTGGTGAGAAGCTCTATTTCTTACACAGCTAAGCAGATCCTGACAATCACCACTACACGTATGACACCGACAGTTTCTCTCTGCAGTCATCTGCCTAAAACTGGAAGCCCTCCAGACTTCGGAACGACCATTTAACAACAAAGACAAAAAGCCAGTGCTACAGTTTTTCTGACCACTTGTTAGTATCTAAGACAGATACTTTCTTTTGACAGTATCCACAGAGAACTCAGTAATACTGTCAGCTTTACACCTCGCACAAAAAAAAAAAAAAAAACAAACAAAAAAAAATGTTGCAAGAAACTAAGGCTAATCTGACAGCGAAAAAAAGAAAGGTTTGGTCTGCGTTATCTCCACCTACTATCATGCAACACAGGTCACACAAACACTGCTTCCAACACAAGGAACACACGGCATTCAGCACCCCAAGCAAACTGTAAATATTGTTTAACTAAATGACAACGAGAGCATGCAAGACGTTTATAAACACAGACCGTAAATACAATCGCAAGACCTTTCACATCTCCCACACAGAGAAGCTGATGCTAAAAGATTGAAATAGCTCAGCCCTTTCTTGCGCTTCAGCTCTCTCTCTAGCCACCCGGTCCTCAAATCTTCCCCCCTCTCATTCCGAAGCAGCTCCCAGGCAGGACAAACCCAGCAAGGCGTTTCCGCGCACCCCGGGCCGGGGGGAGCGTCCCAAGGAGCGGAGGAGCCGCGGGC